TTTTTTAATAAAAATTTGGGCAAAGAACTTATAATAGTTTTAAACCTAGTAATCTAATCCAAATTCATATGCAGTTATTTGTTATTTTTTAAGATAACCCGACTTAACATTGGCCCCTGTACACCCCCACTCAAGGAAAAACTATATGGGGCACCCGCTGAGCTGTAGACCACAGTCCAGTTCATACACCAAGTTAGGCTTGTTGTTTAAATCCTCCATCATATACTTAATTAAGAACGAAGAAGAAGAAGAACTACTCAAAAATACTGTCATGATAGTGATATTATTTACTTTTATGATTCACCGTTTAAAAATGTATTAAAAATTTATACATTTCCGCTCCATTTATTCCTGCCTTTTTGGCCAACACTAAACTGATAACGAAATCAACAAATACATCATTCAACCGGTACTAACGTAAGTTATTGATTATTTCAATATTTCTATACTTCACACATGCCCACATACGTACACACACGCACTCACATTTACACAGTCACACACTCACACACATCTATGCTACATGGCATGCATGTTCCAAATATCCAATATCAGTTTCACGTTGATGCGTACATGAATGAAGTAACATCTGGGTGTTAAAGTCGGATGTGTTTTTATGAGCCATTTTAGCTTGTGCAGCGTGCAGGAAATAAACTAGACACGACATTAAAGCTCACGGGGATTGGGAGCTGTTGAACAAAGGAGGAAGTGGGAGCTTTAACTGCCCGTCCACACAAGGTTTTGAGAACGATGCAGCAAAGTTTGACGTTTGTAACAAATATATGAAGATTTTGGGAACAATACAGCAAAGTTTGTCTTTTGTAACAAATACACGAAGATTTTGGGAATAATACAGCAAAGTTTATCTTTTGTAACAAATACACGAAGATTTTGGGAATAATACAGCAAAGTTTGTCTTTTGTAACAAATACACGAAGATTTTGGGAATAATACAGCAAAGTGTGACGTTAGTTACAAACACACGAAGATTTTTTTTTTCTTATTACTATTATTTTAAAGTTGCTTGACGTTTAGAAATGTATCATAAAAGAAATTATCCGACATAGGGCAATTCGTCCCAAGGCACAGGACAGGGGAGGAACTAAAAAACTTTTGCAATGCGTTTAGTCTCTTAAAGTAACCGCCACTGTGTGATATTTTTTAGGGGGAAAATCAAAGCCCCTATCATATGCGCTGGAATGAGACTAAAATCCGCAAAACTAGTTGTCCACTAGCTATTCAATTAATTCTATCAAGTTAATCTCGATCTAATTACCGGAAGATGACGTGTAGACATTTGTGTGGCTTTCTACATAGTCATCTTTAAACACACAAGCTTGTTCACAAACGCATCGGGTAGTTTATTATTAATTCACCTTTTTTTTTAGATTTTCTCTTGCTTGTTTTTGAATGAACCCAGCATCGACTACATAGCCTTGAGCACTAGCTTTCACAAATAAGTTTTGAAAATGAAGTTAAAAATAAATTTATTTATGTATTTATTTTTATTTATTTACGAAAAAAAAAACTTGCATTAATAGGTTTAGTTGAAAGCTATTTCTAGAATTCCCCGTGATCATTTTTTTAAGCCAAGTAACTAAAATTATAAACAAAAATGTAAACTGAATATAAAAATTGTTTATCTTGGCAAATTTAATTGTAATGATGTATGAAACGTGAAGATATTTTTTTGTAAATTAAATCCCAGATAAAAGTGCATTAGTGGCATGTTTTTGGAGAGATGGGTCGTTAGATAAATCGAAATGTTGAATACATAAATAAATAGTGAAGGAACTGTAGCCAAAAATATATTGAACACTATTTCATTTAGCCTAGGTCTAAGTTTGGGTTACTTTTGGAGATGCTGGTAGTATATAATTTTGTGATTTACCTAAAGGTTATGTGGCTAACGTTGAACGATTACGGACATAGTTTTTTTCACGTTGCCAGTAGCAATTTACAAATGGTTTATTTTACTGGTTTTTCCAAAATCTAGCACGTATATACAAATATTTTTTAATTACATTCTAGCTTTTCAGGTCGAGAAACTAAAATATTATGTTTTTCTGCCATTAAAAACGTTCAAAACAGTTTGTCCCTTAGCTGTAATTTAAACCAGGACCCTATTACTAGCATTTCACACTGACAGTATATTTCGTACTGTAGTATTATGGTGAGGTCGCGAATTATCTAACACCGAGGTCATTGTAAGCTGTAGATCACTAACATTATGCCAATCAAATATTCTATTTTTGGAGTTCGTGACTGCAACCGCAGGTGATACAACTTCTAGCCCTGACCATACCACTCTAACTCATCAATAGTTCACAATGTCTCTTATCTATTACATTATCGATATTTCTTTTGTCCAGTGAATTATAATTAGGATGCTAATTAGTTCATTAAAATCTGGCCTGTCTGAACTGGAATTGTTTTGAAATTTCACGCGCTAATGCGCATGCGTAAGTGAACAGGTGTTGGTCGACCCGCTCACCTGTTGTGACGAAAATAAACTTGAGTACTCACAAGAAACGGCCCACCGACTTTTTTTTTTCTTTGCGGTAGGGCAGCCAAGGTGAAGGTCGTGGAATTTTATTTGACTTTGATAAAATCAAATAGTATCAGCTACTCGTGTCTGGGATAAGGCGGAGCACTCTTAATGTGGGCGTGTCTGGAATAAGGCGGAGTACTCTTAATGTGGGCGTGTCTGGGATAAGGCGGAGCATTCCTTAATGTGGGCGTGTCTGGGATAAGGCGGAGCACTTTAAAGTTGGGCGTATCTGGGATAAGGCGGAGTACTCTTAATGTGGGCGTGTCTGGGATAAGGCGGAGAACTCTTATTGTGGGCGTGTCTATGGGAAGGTAACAGTGATGTGCTAAACCTAGATTATCTTTCCTTGCAACACTTCACACTCCGTAAATAAACACATGTTCAAATACGTCTCAATAACTTTCTAAACGTGTTAAAAAAAAGGCCATAAAATTAGTGAAACATTTCATCATTTCTATAATAAAGTACAACCCATCATATTAATACAAGCAAACCATCACATATCATTGTATCATAGTCACCATCAATAAATACTGAAAACAACGAAGTAATTATTGTATTTAAATCAACTCGTTAACAAAGCATGAAAACAATACTTTACACTACTTCATACCTACACTACGGTATCCTTGTACAACGCATTATGTTAACTTCTACAATTATTAATTACTAAACAAATTATGCAGTAAGCTTAAGATTCCACTGTCTATTAATCCACAGTTTAATAATTTCTTTTACATTTTAATATTGAATAAAGTGTTGATGGTATTAAAACACAGTATCTGATATCACATAGTAACGCAGCCTGTTATTCCACGACCCCCCGCCCCCCACCCCCCGCATGTCTAGTCCCTACTTGACCCCCACTTCAATCCAAATCTTTTCCCTCCTCCTCTCTTGTAAAAAGGAATTTGGCTTACGTCACACCCAGCTTACTTAATTGTAGACTTACGCAGCAGTAATGTGCTAATTACTGTTTCTGCACAGCCCATTACTGCACTTGAAAACAAAATGGCGTGGTAATTAGTTTAGCAACTTTGCTCATTTAGCTGAAGCGATGCAGTGAAGACAAGAGAGTCTTCGACTCTTTGTTGAAGATGTTTGAAAAGCTGTTTGCTATGTCGGGAAGTGCGTCGTTACAGTTTTCCGGGGCTGCAAATCTCCAATTTTAAATTTCTAAAAGTAAAACTTGGTTGCGTCGATGTTCTTTTTTTCAAAAAGTATTTTAATTAAGTTTTTCTCTATTATGTTTTGTTTATGGAATAGTTATCTCAATTTATCCCAGTTTTATCCTAAAACGCGAAACTTCATTTACACAGATTATGTCCCTTCATAATTTATAACATTCTACCCTCATTACGTCCCCTAATAAAATATTTTTAAAATAAGTACTTTAAAGAAAGTTTATTTTTCACGTTTATAAAGTGCAGTTAAATATATAAAAATTTCACCTCTCAAACGTAGGAATGGGTTGATCTCTAAAACGTATTTTATTGTTTCCGTGAAATGAAAAAAAAAGTTAAGCGGTTAAACGGAATTCTCGCGGGCGAAAAACGTGGAACTGACAGGCCTCGAGACGTTTTTAGACACTCCGTGCTTTTTAAAGCCACCACAAGCAGAATAAACAAACACATTACCGTTTTTTAGGGTGAATCTTTAAAAACTAGAAACGGAAAACAACGAAATCTTTCAACTGAAAGCAAAACTGCGACCGGAAAGTAAATTTTGGAACGTGATAGCTGGGAAAAAAAATGTTTGAATAAATTTTCCGTTTCTGCATGGAAAATATGAATTAAAATGTCAAATATTACTTCCTTACAAATGTGAAGCAATACATAAAGGGAAATTTTCATCAGGAACTCTAGCTTTTATAATTCACTTCCGCCATTATTTTGTGTGGTAAAATTATTAGCTCATAAGACGTTTAAAGTAAGAGATGAGACTCTAGCTTTATGTGGGTTTGTACACAAAAAAAAACTGGTTAGGTTAAACCGTCGTTTTGAGGGTTCATTGAATTCGTGAAATTCATAAGTTTTTTTTTTGTTTTATGTTATAATTATCTACAGACTAGATGATACCTGAAATATAAATTACAAAAAAGTTTTACCTTTAAAAAAATTGAAAAAAGTAAAAAGTAGAAAAAAAGTGGAAAAAAATATGAAAAAGAAGAAAGTGTATGTGAATAAAAAGAGTGAAAAAATGTCGGTGAAATATGTCTGCTCATAAACACGTGAGAAATTGGAACAAACTTGTCGTCTGCTAGACGAAGCTTCTTGTCCAGGTAAAAAAAAAAGTTCAGGTGTTTCTGAAGGTGAGCACGGCAGGGGGAGATAAGCGTGTGGGGGATGAGAGAGTTACCTGCCCTGTCCAAATCTCTCCCCTCGTCTTGGGACTCTGGGCGGTGATAGGAATCAAAGGGTTAACGTGTGGGCCTGCTTCAAAGGGTTAACGTGTGGGCCTGCGTGTTGCCGTCTAGAGCTGAGTCGGTCGTAGCAGTGGTTCCAGTGTATGGCTACATCGGTTCTATTGTGTGTACATAGGCTGTAGTAGTGCTGGTTTTATTGTGAGGTGTACGTAGGCTGTAGTAGTGCTGGTTTTATTGTGATGTGTACATAGGTAGTGGTAGTGCTGGTTTTATTGTGATGTGTACGTGGGTAGTATTGGATCTATAGGCTGTGGTTGTATCGGTAGTATAGTGATGTGTACCTACACTTTCTGTGGTAGTGTCGGTTCTATTGTGGTGTGTTTTCTCCTATGATATTTACATAGACTGTAGTTTTTTTTTCCATTGTTATGTGTACATAGGCTGTGGTAATGTTGGTTCTATTGTGTGTACATACGTGGTGGTAGTGTTGGTTCTATTGTGATGTGTGCATAGATTGTGGTAGTATATGTTCTATTGTGTGGTAGACTGTGGTAGTATCGGTTGTATTGTAATGCTGTGATAGTGTTGGTTCTAATGTGATGTGTGGTATATAGACTGTGGTAGTATCGGTTGTATTGTAATGCTGTGATAGTGTTGGTTCTAATGTGATGTGTGGTATATAGACTGTGGTAGTATCGGTTGTATTGTGATGTGTACATAGGTGGTGGTAGTGTTGGTTCTAATGTGGCGTGGAGTATATAGGCTGTGGTAGTATCAGTTCTGTTGTGATTTGTACATAGGTGGTGGTATATACACATGTGTATATATACATGGTGTGGTAGTATTGGTTCTAATGTGATGTGTATGTAGTACATAGGCTGTGGTAGTATCGGTTCTGTTGTGTTGAGTTTACAGTCCATGACATCATCGGTTCTATTGTATTGTGTTCTGTCTACCGCAGATGTTGACCTGTTCTTACGACCTGGATTTACTGACTCCATTTTTCTAGGATCTACTCATAAGGATAATCCATCGGCAGGACTTTATCGCTTCTATTATTTAGATGATCTACTGTAACAATTTAGGTATCAATTTTACTTTTCTCATACTGTTTACAAACACCTTACTTAACAATTGAATACACTAACACTATTTTTTTAAAAATTATTTCAATTGAAAAATATCCTGTTAATCGTTGATGGTAATCACGTAGCTAGACACGTGTGCTTGCGTTTAACTTTCTTTTTGTGGTGGGTTGAGAATGGGTTGATAGAATCTGGGGATGGTACTGGAAGCGTTCTATTGATCATTTTAGTATTTGTTCACGGTGCCCTATTGAGACCATGGTACATAACAGTGCTTGTTAGAAAGTATGTGGCCTGGCTGATTCCTAGAGCTCTACCCCATGGCAGCCCCTGGTCACCTTACCCCTAGGCAAACCACCGAGACTTGGAACCGCTTTGACCAGACGACTCCCTCAAAAGATGCACTTCTCTGACCAGCCATGTCTCACACACAACATCAACATACAGGACAAGCTGAACTCTAACCCTACGACCTCTGGTAACTACTGACTAAACAAATCTACTTCCTATTTTGTGTTAGAGAGTATACAATTTTATACTGCTGGGAATTCAATGGAAACTGCCTGCAGACGACAGTCTTGAACCACATTTAAAAAAGAGTTCAGTTTTTTTAATTTAAATTTTGTTTTTTATATTGAATTCTAGTTTCCGTTTAATACTATTCGGTGTTGCCTACGCTAATTAAAATGTGTTCTTTGAATTCAAAATGTGTAGAGAAGTTTGGAACTTAATTACAAAGTTAATTATAAAAGGTAAATGCGAATGCAAGAAAACTATAACAAAGTAACATACCTAAGTTATATTACCGCTCCGTTTATATAACTAAGCGACAAGATGTAGCAGAAGTCGAAGGGGAAAGATTTGGCTTTCTTTATCATCGTATACAAACATTATTGCACGGTTAGCCCATCTTATGTCTAGTACATATTTCACCTGAGTCGACTCAGCGTCATCACTCCTACCTGAAAGTAACCTGCTTAAAATACATTCAGACAACCCACAATTCAAAGTATCCACTACTATACAAAATGTCATAAATTTGAAACCTATGACAAAATGTATAATATAATCCATTTGGATTTTTATATAGCTTTTCGTTTTGCTAAGCTGAGTAACACACAGTGTATAACAATTCCCTCCCTGTCCCTCTTGACACACACCAACGAGCACAAACCGATATTAGATACATTTCGAGCCTTAGTTGTTCCCCTTATTTTAAAAAAAATGGTAGTCTCCCTTGATGTCCAATAAATTGCCTACTTTAAAATATATAAAACCTACGCGTGCGTCCCACCTGGCATACAAGCACGTGCTCCATATGGCCAGGTGAACATTACCTTACAGACCCCCCTCCTGCAGTTTTAGACCCACTCAAGAACTAATTATTCAAATTATTTAACGCTGCTTCAATTATCTTAATGTCGCTTTTCATAACGTCACAGTGCGATTAGAGAATTGTAAAAGATGTAAAACTATAAATAGAAAAAAAATATTTTACTCCCCACGTGCGAAGGGGCGCTGGGAGGGTTTATGACAGAAACCTTGAGTAATGACATACAACGTAAAGGTTACGGACGAGCGTATGAATATATCTCTCCATCCACTGAAAGGACACAGGCACAGTTGATTGCTTCCCTTTTAACTACATGCAATTAGCCGTCGCTCCCTTGATGTGTATTTTTTGTACCAACAGCGGGGAAGTTTGCGGATCGTTCATCAAACGAAGGTCGTATTTGCATGTACTCTATGGCTCATCTATACAGGGCTGTTTGTATTGCCCTCTGTGATTAGCCTACACAGTCGATACTGACAGATTATAGATCTATCACAATCTGACAAAGGGGGCGGATGCTTTGGTATAAGTGCGACAATAAGTTTACTCTCAATTTTTGTGCTGTATAATTTGTCACTATAGTACGGCATATTTGTGAAGGGAGAGTTGGGGGCTCAGTTCATTCGCAGTGGAAAATTTAAAAATAGTTGTAATTTACCTCAAATCTAAGTCCTGATATATATATATATATATACATATATATATATATATATATATATATATATATATATATATATATATATATATATATATATATATATTATTTTAAAATATTATTTATATTAATTTGAAAATAAAAATAAAAAAATTGCAGGTAGTAAAACTAAGATTGAAAATGCCATTCAGTATCAGCTACATGATTGTTGACATATGTTGATTACACGCATGCACCTTTTTGATTACACCGGGTCTGGCACCGAGGTAAGAACTTGTTACAGACGTGTCCAGCTCACCTGGCTGTATGTGCCAGGTATTTTGTTGTTTGCAGACTTGAGTGGGCACCTGCGTGATGGAGTGGTTCTGGTTAGTGTTAGACTAGTGCGTTACAGGGCTCTGTGTCTGGTTAGACAGGTGCGGTATAGGGCTCTGTGTCTGGTTAGACAGGTGCGGTATAGGGCTCTGTGTCTGGTTTGGTGCGTTATAGGGCTCTGTGTCTGGTTAGACTGGTGCGGTATAGGGCTCTGTGTCTGGTTTGGTGCGTTATAGGGCTCTGTGTCTGGTTAGACTGGTGCGGTATAGGGCTCTGTGTCTGGTTAGACTGGTGCGGTATAGGGCTCTGTGTCTGGTTAGACAGGTGCGGTATAGGGCTCTGTGTCTGGTTAGACTGGTGCGGTATAGGGCTCTGTGTCTGGTTAGACAGGTGCGGTATAGGGCTCTATGTCTGGTTAGACAGGTGCGGTATAGGGCTCTGTGTCTGGTTAGACTGGTGCGGTATAGGGCTCTGTGTCTGGTTAGACAGGTGCGGTATAGGGCTCTGTGTCTGGTTAGAGAGGTGCGGTATAGGGCTCTGTGTCTGGTTAGACAGGTGCGGTATAGGGCTCTGTGTCTGGTTAGACTGGTGCGGTATAGGGCTCTGTGGCTGGTTAGACAGGTGCGGTATAGGGCTCTGTGTCTGGTTAGAGAGGTGCGGTATAGGGCTCTGTGTCTGGTTAGACTGGTGCGGTATAGGGCTCTGTGTCTGGTTTGGTGCGGTATAGGGCTCTGTGTCTGGTTAGACTGGTGCGGTATAGGGCTCTGTGGCTGGTTAGACAGGTGGGGTATAGGGCTCTGTGTCTGGTTTGGTGCGGTATAGGGCTCTGTGTCTGGTTAGACTGGTGCGGTATAGGGCTCTGTGGCTGGTTAGACAGGTGGGGTATAGGGCTCTGTGTCTGGTTAGACTGGTGCGGTATAGGGCTCTGTGTCTGGTTTGGTGCGGTATAGGGCTCTGTGTCTGGTTAGACAGGTGGGGTATAGGGCTCTGTGGCTGGTTAGACAGGTGCGGTATAGGGGTCTGTGTCTGGTTAGACAGGTGCGGTATAGGGCTCTGTGTCTGGTTAGACAGGTGCGGTATAGGGGTCTGTGTCTGGTTAGACAGGTGCGGTATAGGGCTCTGTGTCTGGTTTGGTTCGGTATAGGGCTCTGTGTCTGGTTAGACAGGTGGGGTATAGGGCTCTGTGGCTGGTTAGACAGGTGCGGTATAGGGCTCTGTGTCTGGTTTGGTTCGGTATAGGGCTCTGTGTCTGGTTAGACAGGTGGGGTATAGGGCTCTGTGTTTCACTATTACCCCCTGTCTGGGGTTATCGAATATATGTAGGAATTCTCCTGATAAAATTGTTAAAAAAAGAGAATTCATATTATAGAGACACCAAATCATGCTTAAATTATACAGCGGAAATAGACCGACATTTATTATCTAAACTCTATAACCCAGACTGTATAATTTTGTTCAGAAATTTAAATGAATGTTATTAAAGTTTAGTCGATAACCAATTTTTGCGAGAGAGGGGAATTTGCGCGATCTTTTTTAAAAAAAAAAAAACTATTTCCTATCTCATTTTAACAGAATCTAAGTTCGATAATTACACCTACTCATACATTGAAGTATCTCAGGTAATATTATTTAGCAAAATATTTTAGGGCAAAAAATAATCTAGAGGAACTTAAAGGACATGAATTGTTTCAGGATAATTCCGCAGAAAAAATCAACTAAGGACAAAATAATCTCAACGCAAATTATTTCAGGTCCAAATATCTCAAAGGAAAATATAAAGGAACCCATACTATGCAATCTGAATGTGAAAAATGCATCACCGTAGTCCATTCAACTACCCATCCATCACCATAGTTCAATGGACTGCACACTCCTCAAACCTCATTACACTTTCATTAGCTTGATCGCGCTCAACGATCGCTGGTCACGTGACTTTACCACGTGACTTACTTCCCCTGCCACACAAACATGGCCGAGGGGGTGACGTCAAGGCATAAACGTGCACGGGTCACTTCCCTTGAATGGACATAAAAACGCGAGGCTTATCTCAATCTGGACTTGACTTCCCGGCACTTTCCGGCTCTTGCCAGGATACAAAGCCGGCCGTTATAAAATGAGCTATTATTCACACAGGCAGTTAAATACGTGTATGTCCGGATAAAAAGATTACTTAATGCTGGGAAAATGTAGCCCGTCAAACCTCTTTTTTTTTCGCAGACCACAGTAGCCATTGTTGCAGGTGTTAATCGCAATTCGATTTTCTGTGACGTAATAACCGGGCCGACCGGTTCTACCTCTAGAAGGATAACTGCGATTGGTTCTAACTAAGAACGGTAACTGTGACTTACTTCGCTTTCGTAAATTAATCCATAACTTCGCATTCACGGAAATGTGTCGTATGTATATATCATATACAAGTTCGATGGTAAATTCGGCCAGAATGTCTAATGTTATGGGACGGAGTGGTCGGAAAGTAGAGCGCACGACTGCGAAACCGAAAGTCTCAATTCGGATCCTTAACTCGAGTACGTAAGACTTCGAAGTGTCCATCTAGATATGATGGGCACCTGACTCAGTACGAGAAAGTATTAGAGGCTGAGCATAGCATTGACCACACTTTCCCTTGACCACATCCTAACCCCAATGTTTAACAAAGCCTAAGCTTGACCTATTTCTGACCGTTATCCTGATCTTAAC